CAGAGCAGTCCTTTCTTAAGATAATCCTTGTTAAAATTGTGGTGCATGAAGCAAATTCATTAGTTATCTAAGTATATTTTATCAAAAACATCTTGTTATCAATATATAATGATTAATGTTGCAATATATATGCTATTATTTCATATAAAGTAATATTTCTTAAAAATTATGTAAACAAACTTATTTGAAAACATTTTTAAATGCTCTTAACTATTTCTAATTTGTCTTATTGGATGACTATGCTATCAGATATGTTTTTGCAGCATAATCTTTATAAACAATCCAGTTATGAAATGGATATATTTACATGTCAACTTAACATCAATTTATTTTTGTATATGTAAATAATATAATGAAGTATAAACTCAAAATCATACCAAATTTATATTTTTCATTTCATTTCCAAACTTGAGCATTTTAATAATGTATACAAATTCAGAATTTTAAAGAATTCTTGTTTCTTTGATTCTGAAAAATCATTAAATATTCTGAAAATATGGTGTGATTCAAAAGGTCAGACAAACTAAAGGTAAGTTGGGAATACAAAAACATTTTTTTTACCTAGGAACACAAACACCACCCAGAGTTGATAGAAGTACAAGAAAAATAACATAGAAAGGGATACACAAAGTATACATATTAGAACACAGGAACATACGGCTGCAAGTGCCAGCAATGTAATAATGGCTACCTTTAAAGCTTGTCTAAGACCTTTTGAATCACCCTGTAAATGAAAATTAGTTTTAACTCCTAAATTTCATGTTCCTTCTAATAATACTTTCAATATTAATGAAAAGATAACAGAAAATGAACTTTTAATATTAAATAACTTTTTAATCTAAAACATTAATAAAATATTATGTAGCTAATGTCGCACGTTCTTCAAAAAAAGACTGCATTCTTTTTATACATAACTGAAGTGCCTTTTGAAGATCGTGTTGCATAATATGTACACCTTTTGTGGATAATACTAATATTTCTTTAATGCCATCTCCTATAATATCCACATATGCAATAGATAATATTGGATAAGGGAAAGAGTGATTCCATTGAAAGACATATTCCGAATTAATCCATTTATAACAAAGTAGTTCTTGTCCGTACGTACCGATAAGAATTTCATTGTTTCCATCCATATCTACATCCGCAACACAAACCGTGGTCACACAATCAAAGCAATCACTAGTGGGTAAAGGAAACTGACGATCGAGACCGTCGGAGAGTACGTCTTTATAAACAACAGATAATTCTAACGTGCCACCCACCGCAAGGTGAACGCCGGGAAGAACTCGGTCCGCTTCGGAGGTTTCTTCCCTTCTCAAAAAGGTCGGCAATTTTACGTCCGTCTCGTCCGTAAACAGACGTACCACGGATACGGGAAGATCGTGTTTGACGACGTAAGACGATTCCAGTTTCGCATAATCCGAAATAAGAGCGACCACGTTAACGCCGACCAAACCTTCCTGAGTTCCGTACGCCGAAACTCTTCTATTTTGCAGATGCACGAAATCCATCCATTGCACGATGCCGGACAAATTATCAAATTCGGGAAAGAGATTCGGAGGCTCTTCGCAGAAACACTGGTGCGACTTATCCTCTTTATATACGTGAACTTTGCAATCTCCGCCGCTCAGAAGCCACACAATTTCTTCATTATTTTCTGTTATAACTTTAACATGCGTAAGATGATAGGGAATAAAATTGAGTGTCAAACTAAAGCACCCCTGAGCAATGTTATCTAAATTGCATTCGGTAACCGGTTGCCATTCGGAATATATATTGAAGAAAGTGCTGACGGGTGCAGAAGAATCGAATTGTTCTCCTAACTTGACGAAAGTGATTCCTACTAAGAAATCGTGATTCTCAGTCGATTTATTGAACGCATCGATAGAAATTATTTCTGCTCCTCCCGGAATATACGTAAACTGTACTTCTGTGGTAGAAGGGATTGTAGACACTTCGTTTTTCGTATATTCTATGCAATATACTTTTCTTTTTCGAGATGCAATTAATACTTTACTTAATCCGTCCGAAGTAGTTAGAGTCGTTAATCCGTAAATATTGCTTTGGGACGTTAATCCGGAAAAATGAAATTCGTTCATATTTACATTCGGTGATATCGAACACACACAAACTCCTCCATCGACGGCTTACTACAGCGCCAACAAACGTCATTTATGAAACTTCGGTCAGAAAAAGTATCAAACACAAAATTTAATTTTATAATTTTATATTTATTATTATAACATTGCGATAATTAATATATGCCAAAAATATTATTTCTTTTTTAAAACTCTTTCCGCTGTGAACACTAAGAGGGCCTCTTTGTAGCAAGCCCATTATGGGTTCGGCCAGGCCCACAATGAGGCCTCCGGAGCCCGACATATCCGGACGGACCACTCCCCGAAAAATTCTTGGGGATTTTTCGACCCGTGCGGATTCGATCCCGGATCTCCCAGAGCGGTAGGCTGCCATTTTGAACGCTCGGCCATCCGGCCGTCAACTACGCTGCTATTTTTCCCAAATTATCACGAGCTTTTGGAGACAAAAAAGCGATGCTATCCGGACAAAATTGAAATCGCCGAATTCCCTGAAGAAATAGAATTGCAGTCACTGCTTGACCATACTATACGACGCTTAGTGTTGGTACAGTACAGTCGGAAGTGTTACAACAGGCGCCTGTAGGCATAGACATTCTTCCAACGTTTGTACCACAAAAAAATGGAAAAAAAAACCGGCCGGATATTGAGGGATCAGGTAAAGATTATATAAACACTTACATTTAAAACCGTTTGACAAAGCGGAGCGGTTCCGTTCAGGTTTGGTTTTAATTTTATTCGTATACGGCAACGCGACACATGGGCGATCTGCCGAGGGAAATTCCCGGGAGGTCTTTTATGGAAAACTGGACCTCATTTAGGTATTACAAACGTGAAGAAAATGTGAAAAACTCCACGTGGCCAAGTGGGAACCCAAGACCAACTATCAGCGTTCGGTAGTTTTATCCACTCGTTACTGGTGGGTGTCGGTTCCGTTCAGACAGGTACCGGTACAGACAAGGTGCTTTCGACATTCTTCGCTAGAACGTTGTCTGAAACGATACGTGCCCGAGGTTCTGAACCTGTTGGAACAAACACGAACGGAGACGGCTGGATAGTCTGAATCACACTCGGACTTTTGAGTAGCAATCTCATCTGAGACGCGACAGTATTATAAAATGATGAAATAAGTAATGAATTCCGAAAGTCTTTCTTGAGCGAAGTTTTTATTTTTCCCATTAGAACACTGAAATCATACTCACACATTCTAAAATACAGGAAAAACTTTTCTTCGGAGAAAATTTCGTTTTCTCTGAAAAAGGTTCGATATTCTATGTGCATTTTTTCTTTAACATTTTATGACTACCATAACAGATGACGTTTCTCTTTATCACCTTCATCCAATAGTAACACTATTATTGTCCTACTCAAAAAGCGCCTTTCCATTTTTGGTCTTTTCCTTGTTAGTCTATATTGTAAATTCTCTGTCGGAATTACCGCATTACGTAGAAAATAATTCTAATTGAAAAATATGTCTTCACATTTCGTCCTTAACACACCTGGGAAACAGTTGTGCGTTATTCCTTGGGCAAAAAGGACAATTGCCTGGGGTCTCAAACCAATGTTATATATATTAAAAAAAATATTTTCCTCAAAACACTTTTTTTTTCGCCCCTTTAGACGAATCACACGACGTCATTTTTACTTTCCTGGCTGTTAACAGAGGGAAAGTATGGCGAAAGGTCGAGGAAGATAAAGGAGGTCGTGTGTATCTCCAGTAGGGTCAGACTTAACGATTTTACTTGTTAGCATTTACAATGTGTTTTATATATATATATATATATATATATAACCTATCCCTATCCTCAAAATTAACCCTTTTGCCATTTTATATTTTTAACTATGATAACAGATCGCACCACCAGATGTTGCCGGGAAAGTTAAGCAACTCGTTGCTGGATTTTTAATCTCCGAGAACACGATAACCGTTTTTTTAAATGTATTTCTTTTTTATTGACGATCTATTTTAAAGCTATATATTACGTCAAAAATTGGGACTATAACCACACTAACTCGTGGCATTTAAACGTTTACATCATCATACATAAAATTTGTTTAACTATTTTTTATTGGCATAATTAATACGAATGTACTACTTACAAAGGTAGAAACAAATGTAGAAAAATGACAGAACAGATTCAAAAGGAAAACAAAGCATAACAAATTACGATTTATATAACAAATTTATGGATATATTCGCTATATTACAGATTTTTTTTTTTTGTTTTCCCCCACAATACAAAGATAATAGTTATAAAATACCTACACATTATACAATCGTTTCATATATAAAAGAATAATGTGGCACGAACGGGAAAACCTCGCGGCGCAACCATATTTTTTTTTTTTTATTTTTTTGGCAGTCGACGAGGTTGGGAAGTTCAACAAAAAAATCGATAAAATATACTTTTTAAGCTCGAACCAAGTGACAACATAAATCGATTTACGACACTACTCTTCTCTTCTTTACACAACTAAACATATACTTATAATACAAACAGTAAAAAATATAAATTCTACTCTTCTTACAGATAAATTCGATAATGAAGAAACAACACGAAAATATTCCTAGAAAATTCTGATTAATTATCAATAGCGGTTTTCTAATAAATTTAACTTTGAGTATTATTTTTAACATTTTTTTTTTTATGAGTTAAAATTTTCTGAGTAAATCACTCTTTGGCACTTTGTGATTTATTACAATATTCATCTGGGATCGTCGTCTTCGTTTCATAGTGAAAAGTAGGAAATGGAGTCTCTTGCATTTATAAAGTACGATTTGTACAGATATAATTGGGCTATTGGTAACAAAATGCTTGCCAATTAAGCAGATTTTATAAATATTTACACACTAAAATTGCACAGTATTAGAGTTTGCCACAAAAAAATTACTTCTATTCTTTATTTGGTTTTCTTCAACTGATCCATCCATTGCACGATGCCGGACAAATTATCAAATTCGGGAAAGAGATTCGGAGGCTCTTCGCAGAAACACTGGTGCGACTTATCCTCTTTATATACGTGAACTTTGCAATCTCCGCCGCTCAGAAGCCACACAATTTCTTCATTATTTTCTGTTATAACTTTAACATGCGTAAGATGATAGGGAATAAAATTGAGTGTCAAACTAAAGCACCCCTGAGCAATGTTATCTAAATTGCATTCGGTAACCGGTTGCCATTCGGAATATATATTGAAGAAAGTGCTGACGGGTGCAGAAGAATCGAATTGTTCTCCTAACTTGACGAAAGTGATTCCTACTAAGAAATCGTGATTCTCAGTCGATTTATTGAACGCATCGATAGAAATTATTTCTGCTCCTCCCGGAATATACGTAAACTGTACTTCTGTGGTAGAAGGGATTGTAGACACTTCGTTTTTCGTATATTCTATGCAATATACTTTTCTTTTTCGAGATGCAATTAATACTTTACTTAATCCGTCCGAAGTAGTTAGAGTCGTTAATCCGTAAATATTGCTTTGGGACGTTAATCCGGAAAAATGAAATTCGTTCATATTTACATTCGGTGATATCGAACACACACAAACTCCTCCATCGACGGCTTACTACAGCGCCAACAAACGTCATTTATGAAACTTCGGTCAGAAAAAGTATCAAACACAAAATTTAATTTTATAATTTTATATTTATTATTATAACATTGCGATAATTAATATATGCCAAAAATATTATTTCTTTTTTAAAACTCTTTCCGCTGTGAACACTAAGAGGGCCTCTTTGTAGCAAGCCCATTATGGGTTCGGCCAGGCCCACAATGAGGCCTCCGGAGCCCGACATATCCGGACGGACCACTCCCCGAAAAATTCTTGGGGATTTTTCGACCCGTGCGGATTCGATCCCGGATCTCCCAGAGCGGTAGGCTGCCATTTTGAACGCTCGGCCATCCGGCCGTCAACTACGCTGCTATTTTTCCCAAATTATCACGAGCTTTTGGAGACAAAAAAGCGATGCTATCCGGACAAAATTGAAATCGCCGAATTCCCTGAAGAAATAGAATTGCAGTCACTGCTTGACCATACTATACGACGCTTAGTGTTGGTACAGTACAGTCGGAAGTGTTACAACAGGCGCCTGTAGGCATAGACATTCTTCCAACGTTTGTACCACAAAAAAATGGAAAAAAAAACCGGCCGGATATTGAGGGATCAGGTAAAGATTATATAAACACTTACATTTAAAACCGTTTGACAAAGCGGAGCGGTTCCGTTCAGGTTTGGTTTTAATTTTATTCGTATACGGCAACGCGACACATGGGCGATCTGCCGAGGGAAATTCCCGGGAGGTCTTTTATGGAAAACTGGACCTCATTTAGGTATTACAAACGTGAAGAAAATGTGAAAAACTCCACGTGGCCAAGTGGGAACCCAAGACCAACTATCAGCGTTCGGTAGTTTTATCCACTCGTTACTGGTGGGTGTCGGTTCCGTTCAGACAGGTACCGGTACAGACAAGGTGCTTTCGACATTCTTCGCTAGAACGTTGTCTGAAACGATACGTGCCCGAGGTTCTGAACCTGTTGGAACAAACACGAACGGAGACGGCTGGATAGTCTGAATCACACTCGGACTTTTGAGTAGCAATCTCATCTGAGACGCGACAGTATTATAAAATGATGAAATAAGTAATGAATTCCGAAAGTCTTTCTTGAGCGAAGTTTTTATTTTTCCCATTAGAACACTGAAATCATACTCACACATTCTAAAATACAGGAAAAACTTTTCTTCGGAGAAAATTTCGTTTTCTCTGAAAAAGGTTCGATATTCTATGTGCATTTTTTCTTTAACATTTTATGACTACCATAACAGATGACGTTTCTCTTTATCACCTTCATCCAATAGTAACACTATTATTGTCCTACTCAAAAAGCGCCTTTCCATTTTTGGTCTTTTCCTTGTTAGTCTATATTGTAAATTCTCTGTCGGAATTACCGCATTACGTAGAAAATAATTCTAATTGAAAAATATGTCTTCACATTTCGTCCTTAACACANAATAATTTTCTTCTCATGATTAAAATTTTTTCCTATCAAAATATGGAGGTTTAGTAAGCTGGAAATTTATTGTTTATTTATTATTTTAATTAATAAATCCTAAAAGAATTAAGGTGAAAAACCTAAATGTATAAAATTTAGGAAGTTTCCCTATTTTATACAAAATGTACACATTTTTTTTATATATATTTTTTGTCAGTTTTAATTATACTGTTGGGGTTTTTGTTAAATAGGGAGTGTGGATATGTTTTGCTGTCAGTCATTTCCTAATTGTGTAAAATAAAATTATCCAAAATTCAACCTTTATATTTTTAAGTAGAATAAACGTAATTTGTTCTTTAGTCAATACGAGAATCAGACGTCATAGAAAAAGGGATCAAACAAAAGCTGCGCGCGCCGTCCGCAGCAGGTGTGTTAATAGGTGACGTTACAGCATGCGCAGATCTCATAGCTCCCGTATCCACTCCACAACCTTCCAACGAAACTAAGACAGCTCCCGATCAGTCTGTATGATCACCATGGACGACAGCGATAATGAAAGACAGGAGCAAAATTCGAGCAATTTCATGCGACAATTCCGTGACAAAAATACCCGCGAACTGAAAAATTTGACAGCTACTCAATTCATGGATGTCTGGAGTCATTATGACAAAGATGGTGAGTTTTGTTGATGTTTTTGTTAGATTGACAGGCACGTGTGTGGCCAAATTTCTTAGCATTAATACCCGTTGCGCCACGTTTTGATCGATGTTTTCCTTCGTCCTTTTTAAGTCTTGACACCTGTAAACGCGTGCCATTGTTCGATATTTGTTTAATAAAATATTTACGTTCGTAACAACTTTTCTGTTATGATTTATTCTATTTTATTTTAAATTAAAGTTCCAGAATAAAATCTACTCTCTTAAAAATAACATCTATCTATCATCATCATAAATTCATTCAGACAGTTAAAAATCCCTGCTACTGCTGCTACTACTGTTAATACTGTTTTGCACATGAATCAGGAATATATCTATTAGACAACTGTTATAAAGTAACACACTTCTTTTCATTGAAGGAATCCATAAATCACATTATTACATAAATAAATGGTTTTGCAAGTCTTACATTGAAATATGAAAAGCATATTGTATTCAATTCATGTACAGAAGATAAAAAATGAAAATTTAGCAATATAAGACCATATTTTGCAGAAATATTAACTATAGAATAAATGTTTTATCAATTTCAGATCGGTGATCACATTTATGTTGCAGTAATCAACCTCATTTAGTTCATGCTTGATGATGGAATTTTCCTTAAGTTGCATTTTTAAATATTTTGGCAAATGACATATTTTAAACTTACTTAATTAAATTTTAAACTTTAAGAAAAGATAGCCACATTGTGTCACTTCTATAAAGCAATAGGAAGTAATAATCTAATTAACCTGTTATCTTTAATCTGTACTTTTTCATAAAAAGTATTCTTTCATGCTTGACGGGAAATTTTCTAGTTAATCAAAAAAATGCATAATAAAAATACAATAAGTTGAAATAAAAGCAAACTATTGCATAAATAGAATAAACTTAGATCATAGAAAGTAGTAGAACAAGTATATACCTATTTATAAAGGATTACAAGATATATATTAGTAGAAAAGTCAGGTAATAATACTGCAGCCTTGTTGAACATTTGAATAAGTTAATAAAAACAGAGGAAAAAAATTAAAATATCTAGACAAGAAATATCTGAATTATTGTCTTCTGGTATGGTCAATAGTTGCAACCTTTATTAAATCAAATATTCACAGAACTAAAAAAACATTTTTCTATTGAANTTTTAACTCCTAAATTTCATGTTCCTTCTAATAATACTTTCAATATTAATGAAAAGATAACAGAAAATGAACTTTTAATATTAAATAACTTTTTAATCTAAAACATTAATAAAATATTATGTAGCTAATGTCGCACGTTCTTCAAAAAAAGACTGCATTCTTTTTATACATAACTGAAGTGCCTTTTGAAGATCGTGTTGCATAATATGTACACCTTTTGTGGATAATACTAATATTTCTTTAATGCCATCTCCTATAATATCCACATATGCAATAGATAATATTGGATAAGGGAAAGAGTGATTCCATTGAAAGACATATTCCGAATTAATCCATTTATAACAAAGTAGTTCTTGTCCGTACGTACCGATAAGAATTTCATTGTTTCCATCCATATCTACATCCGCAACACAAACCGTGGTCACACAATCAAAGCAATCACTATTGGGTAAAGGAAACTGACGATCGAGACCGTCGGAGAGTACGTCTTTATAAACAACAGATAATTCTAACGTGCCACCCACCGCAAGGTGAACGCCGGGAAGAACTCGGTCCGCTTCGGAGGTTTCTTCCCTTCTCAAAAAGGTCGGCAATTTTACGTCCGTCTCGTCCGTAAACAGACGTACCACGGATACGGGAAGATCGTGTTTGACGACGTAAGACGATTCCAGTTTCGCATAATCCGAAATAAGAGCGACCACGTTAACGCCGACCAAACCTTCCTGAGTTCCGTACGCCGAAACTCTTCTATTTTGCAGATGCACGAAATCCATCCATTGCACGATGCCGGACAAATTATCAAATTCGGGAAAGAGATTCGGAGGCTCTTCGCAGAAACACTGGTGCGACTTATCCTCTTTATATACGTGAACTTTGCAATCTCCGCCGCTCAGAAGCCACACAATTTCTTCATTATTTTCTGTTATAACTTTAACATGCGTAAGATGATAGGGAATAAAATTGAGTGTCAAACTAAAGCACCCCTGAGCAATGTTATCTAAATTGCATTCGGTAACCGGTTGCCATTCGGAATATATATTGAAGAAAGTGCTGACGGGTGCAGAAGAATCGAATTGTTCTCCTAACTTGACGAAAGTGATTCCTACTAAGAAATCGTGATTCTCAGTCGATTTATTGAACGCATCGATAGAAATTATTTCTGCTCCTCCCGGAATATACGTAAACTGTACTTCTGTGGTAGAAGGGATTGTAGACACTTCGTTTTTCGTATATTCTATGCAATATACTTTTCTTTTTCGAGATGCAATTAATACTTTACTTAATCCGTCCGAAGTAGTTAGAGTCGTTAATCCGTAAATATTGCTTTGGGACGTTAATCCGGAAAAATGAAATTCGTTCATATTTACATTCGGTGATATCGAACACACACAAACTCCTCCATCGACGGCTTACTACAGCGCCAACAAACGTCATTTATGAAACTTCGGTCAGAAAAAGTATCAAACACAAAATTTAATTTTATAATTTTATATTTATTATTATAACATTGCGATAATTAATATATGCCAAAAATATTATTTCTTTTTTAAAACTCTTTCCGCTGTGAACACTAAGAGGGCCTCTTTGTAGCAAGCCCATTATGGGTTCGGCCAGGCCCACAATGAGGCCTCCGGAGCCCGACATATCCGGACGGACCACTCCCCGAAAAATTCTTGGGGATTTTTCGACCCGTGCGGATTCGATCCCGGATCTCCCAGAGCGGTAGGCTGCCATTTTGAACGCTCGGCCATCCGGCCGTCAACTACGCTGCTATTTTTCCCAAATTATCACGAGCTTTTGGAGACAAAAAAGCGATGCTATCCGGACAAAATTGAAATCGCCGAATTCCCTGAAGAAATAGAATTGCAGTCACTGCTTGACCATACTATACGACGCTTAGTGTTGGTACAGTACAGTCGGAAGTGTTACAACAGGCGCCTGTAGGCATAGACATTCTTCCAACGTTTGTACCACAAAAAAATGGAAAAAAAAACCGGCCGGATATTGAGGGATCAGGTAAAGATTATATAAACACTTACATTTAAAACCGTTTGACAAAGCGGAGCGGTTCCGTTCAGGTTTGGTTTTAATTTTATTCGTATACGGCAACGCGACACATGGGCGATCTGCCGAGGGAAATTCCCGGGAGGTCTTTTATGGAAAACTGGACCTCATTTAGGTATTACAAACGTGAAGAAAATGTGAAAAACTCCACGTGGCCAAGTGGGAACCCAAGACCAACTATCAGCGTTCGGTAGTTTTATCCACTCGTTACTGGTGGGTGTCGGTTCCGTTCAGACAGGTACCGGTACAGACAAGGTGCTTTCGACATTCTTCGCTAGAACGTTGTCTGAAACGATACGTGCCCGAGGTTCTGAACCTGTTGGAACAAACACGAACGGAGACGGCTGGATAGTCTGAATCACACTCGGACTTTTGAGTAGCAATCTCATCTGAGACGCGACAGTATTATAAAATGATGAAATAAGTAATGAATTCCGAAAGTCTTTCTTGAGCGAAGTTTTTATTTTTCCCATTAGAACACTGAAATCATACTCACACATTCTAAAATACAGGAAAAACTTTTCTTCGGAGAAAATTTCGTTTTCTCTGAAAAAGGTTCGATATTCTATGTGCATTTTTTCTTTAACATTTTATGACTACCATAACAGATGACGTTTCTCTTTATCACCTTCATCCAATAGTAACACTATTATTGTCCTACTCAAAAAGCGCCTTTCCATTTTTGGTCTTTTCCTTGTTAGTCTATATTGTAAATTCTCTGTCGGAATTACCGCATTACGTAGAAAATAATTCTAATTGAAAAATATGTCTTCACATTTCGTCCTTAACACACCTGGGAAACAGTTGTGCGTTATTCCTTGGGCAAAAAGGACAATTGCCTGGGGTCTCAAACCAATGTTATATATATTAAAAAAAATATTTTCCTCAAAACACTTTTTTTTTCGCCCCTTTAGACGAATCACACGACGTCATTTTTACTTTCCTGGCTGTTAACAGAGGGAAAGTATGGCGAAAGGTCGAGGAAGATAAAGGAGGTCGTGTGTATCTCCAGTAGGGTCAGACTTAACGATTTTACTTGTTAGCATTTACAATGTGTTTTATATATATATATATATATATATATAACCTATCCCTATCCTCAAAATTAACCCTTTTGCCATTTTATATTTTTAACTATGATAACAGATCGCACCACCAGATGTTGCCGGGAAAGTTAAGCAACTCGTTGCTGGATTTTTAATCTCCGAGAACACGATAACCGTTTTTTTAAATGTATTTCTTTTTTATTGACGATCTATTTTAAAGCTATATATTACGTCAAAAATTGGGACTATAACCACACTAACTCGTGGCATTTAAACGTTTACATCATCATACATAAAATTTGTTTAACTATTTTTTATTGGCATAATTAATACGAATGTACTACTTACAAAGGTAGAAACAAATGTAGAAAAATGACAGAACAGATTCAAAAGGAAAACAAAGCATAACAAATTACGATTTATATAACAAATTTATGGATATATTCGCTATATTACAGATTTTTTTTTTTTGTTTTCCCCCACAATACAAAGATAATAGTTATAAAATACCTACACATTATACAATCGTTTCATATATAAAAGAATAATGTGGCACGAACGGGAAAACCTCGCGGCGCAACCATATTTTTTTTTTTTTATTTTTTTGGCAGTCGACGAGGTTGGGAAGTTCAACAAAAAAATCGATAAAATATACTTTTTAAGCTCGAACCAAGTGACAACATAAATCGATTTACGACACTACTCTTCTCTTCTTTACACAACTAAACATATACTTATAATACAAACAGTAAAAAATATAAATTCTACTCTTCTTACAGATAAATTCGATAATGAAGAAACAACACGAAAATATTCCTAGAAAATTCTGATTAATTATCAATAGCGGTTTTCTAATAAATTTAACTTTGAGTATTATTTTTAACATTTTTTTTTTATGAGTTAAAATTTTCTGAGTAAATCACTCTTTGGCACTTTGTGATTTATTACAATATTCATCTGGGATCGTCGTCTTCGTTTCATAGTGAAAAGTAGGAAATGGAGTCTCTTGCATTTATAAAGTACGATTTGTACAGATATAATTGGGCTATTGGTAACAAAATGCTTGCCAATTAAGCAGATTTTATAAATATTTACACACTAAAATTGCACAGTATTAGAGTTTGCCACAAAAAAATTACTTCTATTCTTTATTTGGTTTTCTTCAACTGTAGATGGGATATGAGGTAAGAAAAAATTTAACTGAATCAGTATTTATTTAATTTCCTTTAAAGATCTTTGCCCACTTTTCAAATCAAGTTTTTGAGCTGTAGTTAAAAAAACTAACTAAAATTCAAATAAAACAATAATAAAAAAATCTGTCTTCAAAACACTGAGCTGGCCAATTGCATTTTTTATGGGAAATTTAAAATTTATATGGCACTAGGTTAAAATTATAAAAAAAAAACTTATTTTCAACAGTAAACGCACGTAACAAATTAGTTGTACATATATTAAACAAATATTAAATATATGTACAAAAGTATGTGTAAATTATTAATTAAATCAACTGTCACAGGAATGTGAAAAAATTTTAACTTTCAAAAAGCATATTATATTAATCAAAATATAAAATATTTTATAACAAGTTAAGTATAAACTGCTTTCATTAACAGAAGACAAATGGTACAATATATGGAAAAATTATTAATTTAGGAATGTGGAAATCATATATTGGGAAAGACAGATTTTTACATTAGAAATAGCTAAAAGTAGATTACATCTAATTAAAAACAATTTATGTTTAGTAATTTATTATTCTACTTCAGAATTCAGTACTTAAAAACATTAAAAGCAATTCAAAATAAAAGGGAAGCATTTATTTTAGAGCCGTTATTACTGGCTGGTTGAAGTTATCTTCTTTAGATAATGTTTATGAAATGAAATTTTTGTTAAGCAGGCAGTGTCAGAACATGATTAAGGCACATCACCTATTTTGACAAAATAGATAATTAAAGAGGAGGTAGTGTAGTTATAAACTGGGAAAAATTTGTGTAGGTGTGTTGTTATTTAAATATATACTCCTTAATATATACTGACACTTCTACTTAGAAAACAAGCAATTTTAATGCAACTAATACTTAATTTTTAGAATTAAATAGTCAAAAGAATTCACATACTCTTAAATAATAACTGGCTTTATTCTGAAAACGGATATTGCATTTTATTCTCGATTGAAATTACAAAATGCAATTTCCATTTTATAAAGTAATAAATTTTTTATGGATTATTATCTAAAATAACTAAATATACTTTTCACAATATCCATGGCAATTAAAATTTTATAGCATCTATAACTTTTTTTATTTCTTAATTTACAAAGATGATATTATGCAGTCTAAATGTTTATGAACAAACATTTATTATTGTTATTAGTGTGAAGAGTAAATTTAGTTAATTATTATGGATAAATAATAATCTTACCATCTATTCTCTAAAATATTGGGAACTTGTAAATAAAAATACTTGAAAAATAAAAACTTAAGGCTATTCATATCTATATATATATATTTATATACACACACGTATATACTTATTAACAAATTACTAAATGTAATATATGAATATATTGTCTCTCTAATTTTAAACTATCAACTGTTCAGATCTAATTAAAAAAAACCTCCTACAAAAGCCAAATAACTTATTTAGACATTAGGATATAAAAATGTATGTAATCACAAATACCAATAATTACTGTCTTTCCTGCTGATAATCTTAGCTCAATAATTATACCAATTCAACTCTTTGTATCTTCGTGTTCTGTCCCTGGATTCTGATACATGCTTAGAAAATTTTGTTTGACAAACTATTTGTTTTCTTCAGTTAAATTAATAACTGCCTGCAGTAATATTTGTACTTAGTGTTGTTGCAGCAGGCAATAAATATCATAAAAAGTTTCGGGCCAAAAATATGATATTTTTGTTGGAAACTTGTATAATATTCTTTACACTGGTTAGCAATAAGTACTGTTGTATATATATATTGGAGTTTTGAACATGTTTTTCACAACAAATATTCAGTTGTTCAATCCTTGAGTCAGGATTAGTGGGAAGATTATTTCTGTAGGAAGCAGCTGCCATTTTATCAGATGAGGCAGTATAAAGGCAGCACATTTTGTCTCCATAGACTGATTATATTCCAACAGTCTTTAATTCTGAATCAGACTATTTTGATGTGATGAATGCTTTGTAATTTGGAGAGAGTTTTCTTCAATCGTAATGCCGTCAGACGTACAGCTGGATTCTGATGCCAACATTCATGCATCAGTTTGCTATAAATTGCTAATATCTGAAATAATAATAATGATGATGAAATAAAAAATTATATTCCAATAATAATATTCTTAATATTTAAATAAATTATAAGTTTAATACCTCATGTTTTTTCCATCTAGCAGAAATAGATGGTCTCATTTGATCTATACAAACAACTTTTTTCATATCTTCAAAACTGGGATCAGAAGGCACAACATCATAATATGGCAAATGATAGTCATCTACTGCTCCTTTTAATTTAAAATAATTAATATTAAGAAACTGAAAATCAAACTTTTTTAATATTAAGAAATTAAACTAATATAATTCTATTTTATTTTAAATTAAAGTTTCAGAATAAAATCTACTCTCTTAAAAATAACATCTATCTATCATCATCATAAATTCATTCAGACAGTTAAAAATCCCTGCTACTGCTGCTACTACTGTTAATACTGTTTTGCACATGAATCAGGAATATATCTATTAGACAACTGTTATAAAGTAACACACTTCTTTTCATTGAAGGAATCCATAAATCACATTATTACATAAATAAATGGTTTTGCAAGTCTTACATTGAAATATGAAAAGCATATTGTATTCAATTCATGTACAGAAGATAAAAAATGAAAATTTAGCAATATAAGACCATATTTTGCAGAAATATTAACTATAGAATAAATGTTTTATCAATTTCAGATCGGTGATCACATTTATGTTGCAGTAATCAACCTCATTTAGTTCATGCTTGATGATGGAATTTTCCTTAAGTTGCATTTTTAAATATTTTGGCAAATGACATATTTTAAACTTACTTAATTAAATTTTAAACTTTAAGAAAAGATAGCCACATTGTGTCACTTCTATAAAGCAATAGGAAGTAATAATCTAATTAACCTGTTATCTTTAATCTGTACTTTTTCATAAAAAGTATTCTTTCATGCTTGACGGGAAATTTTCTAGTTAATCAAAAAAATGCATAATAAAAATACAATAAGTTGAAATAAAAGCAAACTATTGCATAAATAGAATAAACTTAGATCATAGAAAGTAGTAGAACAAGTATATACCTATTTATAAAGGATTACAAGATATATATTAGTAGAAAAGTCAGGTAATAATACTGCAGCCTTGTTGAACATTTGAATAAGTTAATAAAAACAGAGGAAAAAAATTAAAATATCTAGACAAGAAATATCTGAATTATTGTCTTCTGGTATGGTCAATAGTTGCAACCTTTATTAAATCAAATATTCACAGAACTAAAAAAACATTTTTCTATTGAATATATTATATAACTTACTATATACTGAATAATCTCTCAAAACCATTTGTATGACATTGGATTTTACTAATTGGATTTTACTATTTTACTTCTTTGATTATATTAAATAATTTGATCAAACTTCATTTTACAAAATTTTTAATGGAATTTTATTACCAGATGGAATAGGTCTTCAAATAATTACTCATAACAATATGAAACACCCTGTGTCTTCATCTCTAATGGCATTATTATGTATCATATAGTAATCTATTTCTATTCACAGTCATTTCATGTGTGAATAAAAATTCTTGAGACTTCAAAATTCACTCCAATTTTGAGCATTTGTATAAAAAATTTACATAATATTTAATCATTATTCACTTTTTTACTATATTTATTATATATTTTTGCAAAGCTTACTTATTTACTACTTTTAACTTTGATATTTTTTTAGGAAAAATTTGTATCTTGTTTTTCAAAATTTTTATAAAATGTATGAATCACAGAACTTTTAATGCCTCATCAAAAATTTGTAATAAAAAGTTTATAAATTTTGCAGACTAAGTAATTAGAAATATTATGGAATAAAATAATGTTAAGTTATTTTGGAATGAATTTAAGAAAGCTGATAAATGATGTATTTGGCAAGAAGTGACCAAGTGGATTACTTTCAAATATCATATGATATCTATCAAGGTAGCAGAAAAAACAAGTAGTTCATAACTTCAATTTTCAAAACTTTTAATTAGATTATTCTAGTAAGATTGTCAAGATAAAGCTGCATAAGCAGAAAAATCATATTATGATTAAACATATAATAATGAAAATTATTATTCTTAAATAAAAGAGACTATCAAGAATGACTTGCTTTCTTCTTATAATGAAAATATTCTTACCATCTAAGACACACCTCCTTGCAATTTCCCATAAAACTAAAGCAAATGAATAGATATCAGCCATTTTATATGCTTCAAACTGGGATCTATTTAAAGTTTCATCTAAAACTTCAGGTGCCATATATCTTTTTGTTCCAACCCGAGTATTGGCAGCTACATCTATCTCATTGACATCACTAAGAAGAAAATGAATTATTATAATTAATATAAAATTTTATATTTTATTCAATATATAGAATACTGTCGAAGTTTGTTAATCCAGTACCCTCAGAAAAGTAGCCACTAATCTGGCATGATAGCATTCTACAAATCAGAATTTGTTTGGATACATGGTACAGTAAAGACATAGTTTACATAGTATTATGCTAAATGAAATTTGCTTTATTTGAGCTAGCACATATGTTATGTATTGAGTAACATGTAGACTGTTATTTTTATTCTACAAGCCAATTTGAGGACAATGCATCTAAAAGTAGCTCTCATACTCTGAGAATGTGTGGCTTTTGTGAATTGCATGTATACATACAGTTTTTAAAAAATAATTATCATATGCACATGAATCATTATGTAACTTGATTTTGTGCAACATGTACATTAATATTTTTATCAGTTTTAACACAGTATAGTCATGCACTATATCATCTTCAGATTTAGAGTTTTTAATCAATCAGAAGTGTACAACATTGTTAGCTAGTACAAAATGTATAACGATGTCTGAAATATTCAGAAATATACAATTTACCAAATTTTTCAAGAATACAAAAATGTCCAGTAATTTGGCATTTTTGATAATCTGATACCACTCTGGTTCTGTAGGTGCAAGATTAACAAACTTCTGATATACAACATATTTTTTTTTTAAGATAAAGAATGAAATTTTAATATAATAAATTTTGTAAAATAAAATTAGAGTATCTGAATTATGTTTGGTTTATGATTTATTTTTTCCACAGTTTTGCCATTTGATTCTTAAATCTTTTTTCCTATCTTAATTATAAATGCAAATCTATTTAATACAGTCACTTCCCATTAGCAATTATAGCTAAATTACATCCTATAAAAAATTATACATGATCCATATATTATCCTAATGTGTTCTGACTATTATTTAAAATGTCTATGAGAGTAGAGAGATTGCACCTAAATCTTGCAGTGAAACAAAATGCACAGTAGGATAGAAACATAGCTATACAAACACAGGCTTATTTGACTTCAATGCAAATACAATAAAACATCTCCAGATGACCAGATTTTCTTAGAATAAAATTTTTATTCTATTAGGCTATTAGGACTTGCTGTTTTTAATCCTCATTAAGCTGATCATCCTTTTACCAAACCAATGACTGCCTGGACACAATACCTTTGTGTGAAATACCCCCTTTGAGGCAATTAATTTCATCGTTCCAAATGGAATGATAAAATTGAAATCATATTGGGCATGTTGCAATGTTACATTAAAGTGTAAAAATTAATCTCAATCTGTTTTTCAACATCAATGTCTCTATTTTATCCTTGTCTTATTCTCATGAAGTTAGTCTATGCTTTATTCCTATTAAACTAAATAATACTGTATGACAAAACCATTGAATTTATTAATCTTTCCATTAATAGTGAAAGATAAAATAGTAATTGATGACAACAAACATTGATGATTGATGGGTGGGAATTGGGCAGTTATTGGAATTCATTTCTATTATCATTAATTAATAGTGCCCTCTAGTCTAATATTCTTAGAAATCAAGAAAAGAATCAGCCCAGAGTGGGGTTCGAACCAACAATTCCTACTTACTGGTAGCATAACTGGCAACAATCTGCACAGTATTCTTAGAAATCATCTGTGACCTACAATTAGGCCAAAAACAGCAAGGAATGCCAAGTACTGGGATACTCTTAGATCATCATAATGCCTGACCCCATATGTCACTCCAAACTAATGAAACTATTGAAGATCTGAAGTTTGAGTGTCTCCCACTCCCCATACTCATTTGACCTGTTTCCAAGTAATTTTCATATTTTGGGTCATTAATTAGATGGCAAGAAATTAAACTCTGATAGAAATACAGTACATGAACTGTCTCCACTGCACAACCTAAAGATGTTTTAAAGAAATTAAAGAACTTCATAGACATTGAAACAAACATACTGTATGTATCAAATTAAGTTGGGGTATGCAGAAATTTGATAGTTGTGCCTTTGTTCGCAATAAATAATGCAAAACAAAAAATTCAGTTTTCATTTGATGAACCCTTGCAGAAGAAAAATATATATAATTTCCATTTTCAAATTTCTTAACGTAATTTGAAATATCAATTCTAAATCATTGCAGTAAAAATCTGCATGTAAGAAAATTTTATCATATTTTATAAAGAAAATAAACATTTTAATTTTCAAAGCATATATACATGTTTAACTAATATAAAATATTGATTTAATACATACTTTAAATAAAATGTAAATAATTAAAAATTTTACCTGTTAAATCTTACTGCTAATCCAAAATCAGCTATAACACATGTATGGTCCCTTTTTACTAATATATTTCTACTTTTAATATCTCTATGAGCAATGGCTGGTTTGCCTAATTAAGCAACAAATATATTTTACCACACGAAGAATTATGGAAAATAATATAATTTGACAAAATTTTAAAATATTTTTATACCTTGTTTGCCAACAATTTCTGTATGAAGATGACAAAGACCCGAAGCTGCTGAATGAGATAACTGTAACATACCAGCTAAGTCTACAGTGTGAAGTTTTAAGAAATCATGTAAAGACCCTTTCTCATGATAATCTGTAATGAGCAAAAGCTGTGTCCATGATCCTGTGCCCCGAATATCAGCAGCTATGAAGCCTAAGAAATAAAATACTTATGTCATTTAAATAATGACTAGTAAAGAATAAAAATATGAACATTCAAACTCAGAAGTCATATATTAAAGTGAAATGTAACTTGATTTTGTGCAACATGTACATTAATATTTTTATCAGTTTTAACACAGTATAGTCATGCACTATATCATCTTCAGATTTAGAGTTTTTAATCAATCAGAAGTGTACAACATTGTTAGCTAGTACAAAATGTATAACGATGTCTGAAATATTCAGAAATATACAATTTACCAAATTTTTCAAGAATACAAAAATGTCCAGTAATTTGGCATTTTTGATAATCTGATACCACTCTGGTTCTGTAGGTGCAAGATTAACAAACTTCTGATATACAACATATTTTTTTTTTAAGATAAAGAATGAAATTTTAATATAATAAATTTTGTAAAATAAAATTAGAGTATCTGAATTATGTTTGGTTTATGATTTATTTTTTCCACAGTTTTGCCATTTGATTCTTAAATCTTTTTTCCTATCTTAATTATAAATGCAAATCTATTTAATACAGTCACTTCCCATTAGCAATTATAGCTAAATTACATCCTATAAAAAATTATACATGATCCATATATTATCCTAATGTGTTCTGACTATTATTTAAAATGTCTATGAGAGTAGAGAGATTGCACCTAAATCTTGCAGTGAAACAAAATGCACAGTAGGATAGAAACATAGCTATACAAACACAGGCTTATTTGACTTCAATGCAAATACAATAAAACATCTCCAGATGACCAGATTTTCTTAGAATAAAATTTTTATTCTATTAGGCTATTAGGACTTGCTGTTTTTAATCCTCATTAAGCTGATCATCCTTTTACCAAACCAATGACTGCCTGGACACAATACCTTTGTGTGAAATACCCCCTTTGAGGCAATTAATTTCATCGTTCCAAATGGAATGATAAAATTGAAATCATATTGGGCATGTTGCAATGTTACATTAAAGTGTAAAAATTAATCTCAATCTGTTTTTCAACATCNAAAAAAAAATGGGCAGCGGCATTTAAACGTGGTCGTACATCGATTGAAGATGATCCACGTGAAGGACAGCCAAAAACTGCAACTACCGAAGAAAATATTGAGAAGATACACAATATGGTTTTAGATGATCGACGATTAAAGGTAAGATTAAAGGTAGCTAAGACTGTAGGCATCTCAGAAGAAAGGATAAGGCACATTTTACATGAAGAACTCAGTATGAGAAAGCTTTGTGCAAGATGGGTGCTGCATTTGTTAAATGATGATCATAAACAAATGAGGAATCAACTTTCTCGTCAATGTTTGCACCATTTTAAGAAGGATCCAACTGATTTTCTGCGCAGATTTGTTACAATGGATGAGACATGGGTTCACCACTTTACCTGAGTCAAAACATTAGTCCAAGCAGTGGGTAGAAGCTGGTGGCTCTGCACCGAAGAAAGCAAAGATGATTGCATTGGCTGGAAAGGTTATGGCTAGTGTTTTTTGGGATTCCAAAGGGATTCTTTTAATCGACTACCTGTCAAAGGGTCAAACAATTAATGGGGAATACTATGCACATCTTCTTGACCAGCTAGATGAAAAAATTAGAGAGAAAAAGCCTGGTTTGCAAAAGAAAAAAAATCTTCTTTCACCAGGACAATGCACCCGCTCACAAAGGTGCTTTTGGCAATGGAAAAATTGAGGGATTTGAAGTATGAATTATTGGAACATCTTCCCTATTCACCAGATTTGGCTCCCTCTGACTTTCATTTATTCCCAAATCTTAAAAAATTTTTGGCGGGAGAACATTTTGGATCAAGTGAAGAGGTGATAGCAGCGGTAAATGGATATTTTGAAGACCTTCCAGAATCGCACTTCAGGGATGGAATACTGTTATTGGAGAAACGTTGGACAAAGTGTATTGAACTAAAGGGAGACTACATTGAGAAATAAATGCACTTTTAAAATAAAAAACTCATTTTTTCACTACTAGGCCGAGAACTTTTCACCTTGCCCTCGTATGATTGTATATATATATATACATACACACACCCACACAGGTGTCTGTGTCTGTTTATTGCAGGTGTCTGTGTGGGTTTATATACACACAGTATATAAACCCACACAGACACCTGCAATATACTACTTACTCAAGACTTTCAAAATGAATTAAAAACAAAGTATATTTTAACACCATAACACCATTTAACTTTGTACAACCACATTAGGTCATGCTATAACCATTTATGTTCAAGACTAGTCCAAAAACTTTAATATCTCATCTTTAGTTTTCATTGTGAACATAATGTCAAAACTAAATAAAATGTTCGTTTTGCTCTAGTTCTATTTGTTTGAATTTGTGTTTGACAACTAATTCACAAATAGATAAAATCTATATAATTTACTTGTAAAGAATCTATCTTTGAAATTTTTTTTTTCATTTAAGGATTTTTAGAGCTTCTAAAAAACAATTATGATAGAAATGTGAATTTTAGAAATTTGAACTATACATTGTTTACAAAAATACAAAAAGTTTAATATGAAAGTTTACTCAAATAAATTAAATTAATTAAAAATATATTAAATATAAAATAGATATTAATCATAAAAATTCGTTTACCAAGAATGTTTTCATGTCTCATCAGTACTGTCTGATATATTTCTGTTTCTCTGAACCAACTAGCTTCTTCTGTAGTAAAGAATATTTTTACAGCAATATTCTCACCTCTCCATTGTGCCTGCCAAACTTCACCAAATCTACCTTTACCTATACTTCTTATCATTTCTATTTGCTTTGCAATTGTCCTTTGCACCTAAAAGTTACAAAGTTTAATTAATAAAATAAATATATATTTTATTTTTGATTCAAAAAAAATTTTAGACTCACTAATATTGGCAAACCAGATCCACTTCCTGAACTAATTGAATGATCTATAAGATCTTTCAGTGATTCACGAGGGATTAAGAAGGGGTCACATTGATCACCTGAACCTAAATATCCTCTTCTCTGGTCTTCACCTCTTTTATATCTAAAACAGATGATGGATTCGCATAAATCAATTTAAATTAATATGATGTTTGAATATATTGTCGAAAGTTTTCAAATTAAAAAAAACATTTATATAAAATAAAAATTTACTTGCAAATTTTATCATATAATTTATACATTAGTATAAAATAAAGTGTTTAAAAAGTATGAAATTAAAGAAAATATAAATACCTAATATATGCATAAGTGATAAGAACTACAAGAAGAATGATGCAGACAGTAGTTGATATGAGCAAAGCCATTTGATGAACATTATCTTCATAACTCATTAATTCACCTCCATAATCTAGGGTAATTTATTATGAATTAAACAAGTTATTAAAATACATTCTAATATAAATAATCACTTCATTTCTTAAAAAAGTGGATTCCGTTACTTCTTGTAAATTGTTTTATGCTAATAAAAATATTAGTTAAAATTTTACTTTTTAATTTTAAAATTTATATGATCTATAATCTTCAAATAGTTAATAAATACCAGGTGTAACAATAGTTGGTCTTGAAACATATACTGGTTTCAAATATCTATTACAGAAATCTGCATTGCTGCAGCATTCAATGGATTGGGGAACTTGATGAGGTACTAAATGTCCTTTGCACTTTAAAATAAAAGAATTATTAATTTTTTTCTACTTAAAAAAAATGATTATATTATTATCTGTTATATTATTAAATGAGTATTTAAGAATGATAGATATTACAAAATTAAATCATTCTAGTTCTTAGCAATAACTTAAACATACTTGTTTCATATTGTTGCTTCAAAATTTTTATTTCTATTTGTAATAGATTACAATATTTCAAAGCTATTATTACTAATACATTGCAATAGGTAAGTACAATTTTACACTTACTATAAAATTCAACAAACTTTTTATTGAAATAAATATGTAATGAAGAAAAAAGTTTTCATTCTTTTGATATATATTTTCTATATTTGTATGATAATGATACTGATTCTGATATTAATCTAAAATTAACTGAAATAAATCAAATTATGGAAATAATGCTAGTGAATTAGAAGACAGACTGAATGCAATATAAGTGGCAATGATGATAATTGTAAAATATATTCTCAATTTAATAATTTCTAATTTTTTTATACAAAATTCAAAATATTTTACACAACTGAATATAAAAACCTCAAACTTGTTTATTTATATTTATTTTGAATGTTTGTTAAATCTGTAAAACAAATTTTTACTAATTTTTTTTGCTATCAAAAAATTTTTTATGATTAACCAACCAATCTTCAAATTCTTTCAAAGAGTAAATGAAAAATAAAATTTTACTGTTCCCATTTCTTATCCTAATTCCTATCACTAATCCATTATTAATACTGGACATCAAATTAATACTGACAGTATAAAATTTTTTTTAAATTATTATATGTAATTTTTTTAAATTTAGAAATTAAAAAAATTTCTTTAATGCAACTAATTAATTTAAATCAAGGCTTTTAAATAGATAAAATTTGAAATACAATACTTTACTACTAAGGGAAGCTGTTAAGAAACTAATGTTACATACACCTGATTTTACTACACAGTTTAAATATATTTTGAGCATACTTTGGATGTTTAAATCAACATTTTAAATTTTATCTTTAAAAAATTTTTAAAACTATTTATTAATAATTTTATTTTAAATTTATTTAGTAGTTTGAATAAAATGATATGTTGCTTATTGTAAAATAAAAATTTTATTATTACTCATGTTATTCAGGTAATTTTAAGAGTTATTTTTAATATAATTTCACATATAATTTCAAACCTCTACTTTTCAAAATATATTATGGTTGTAAAAATCCCTTTTTTAAAAACAGACAATCATCCTTTATAATTGTTACACTGGAATTTGATGTGACGTTTCAGAACATATTGTTTGAGTATGTAATTTTTAAATAATAATGCTCTTATTAATAATACATAGTAATTGTAATACATACATTGTAATGTGAAAATAGGTCAAACTGACAAGGGCATCGCCAAAAATGCCTCTGACATAATAACAATAAAGCACTTTCCAAACCGCAAATAACAAGAATTACAGTTAACTGCAGGAGGAAAGATAAAATGATGGTTCTAGCTTAAAATTTTAAATATTAATATTATCCTTCATTCAATAAGGAACAAAATGTTTTAAAATTATACTTTAAGATTCTAAACATCCATACTATCAAATGTATATTTATACAGCAAATTTCTTAAAAATTTCTAACAGAGACAATATCATCAGTAATATTACAGTAAAAAAAATTAAAAAATAATTATGTGTTTGATTAAACTTTTGACAAAAGAAATCTAATCATAACTATAAACTTTAATGAAAGAAAAAGAAAGTAGATGTTTCACCTAGCTATTATTTGTTACAAATGCAATTACAATCCTGAAATAGCTGAACTCAACTTTTTCTCTATACTTATATGAAAATAATATTTTTTATAAAATTAATTCTTTAAAATTTTTGTCTTAAGTATTTTATTATATTTATCAACATAACATAAATCAAAAAGTTGTTTTCAATTGGTAATACCTTGTTTGCTTAAGGAACAAATCTTGAATTTCAATGTATTTTTATATTGTGTGAATTATTGTTTGTGAATACTCCAGAATAAACTCCTGAGTAAATTATACCCGCATTATAAGTCAAAATTGTACTAATTTTTATATACTATAATTAATTGATTTAAATATGCTTATTGGCAATTGTCTATCTTTGTTTAAATTATATGGGGTAAAAAACAAATTACAGTAGAGCGTCGATTATCCAAATCAATTGGGGACTGGGGTTGTTCGGAAAATCGATATTTCGGATAACTAGTTATGTACAAAAAAATATATTAACCTATCCCATGTTGAAATTTTTCTCCGTTGCGTGTTGCTTTGCGTTGAATTTTCATCGATGTTAAGTCTAACATAAACTTTTTAAAATAACAATCGTGACTATTGTATCATTAAAAATTATTTCTTTATTTTGTACAAACAAAATAAATATATTGAAAAATATAAAAACAATAAAAAATTATACTTCAGAAGTTANTCAGACTGACAAGGGCATCGCCAAAAATGCCTCTGACATAATAACAATAAAGCACTTTCCAAACCGCAAATAACAAGAATTACAGTTAACTGCAGGAGGAAAGATAAAATGATGGTTCTAGCTTAAAATTTTAAATATTAATATTATCCTTCATTCAATAAGGAACAAAATGTTTTAAAATTATACTTTAAGATTCTAAACATCCATACTATCAAATGTATATTTATACAGCAAATTTCTTAAAAATTTCTAACAGAGACAATATCATCAGTAATATTACAGTAAAAAAAATTAAAAAATAATTATGTGTTTGATTAAACTTTTGACAAAAGAAATCTAATCATAACTATAAACTTTAATGAAAGAAAAAGAAAGTAGATGTTTCACCTAGCTATTATTTGTTACAAATGCAATTACAATCCTTCTGAAATAGCTGAACTCAACTTTTTCTCTATAATTATATGAAAATAATATTTTTTATAAAATTAATTCTTTAAAATGTTTTAAATAAATGCAGGTAGGTCCTGAGTTTCACATTACTGTTTCTTTATAATTATAAAGAAAAAATTTTTAAATACAATATATAAAAAGAAAATTCAAAAATTAAAATGTAAACATAATATTGGAAGTGGTTATATAGCATCTAGTGAATGAGAAAAAAGCAAATGATGTAGAATAGTGATAATATATAACTGCTTCCTATATTGTGTTTACATTTGCATTTTTAAATTTTAATAATTCATTCAGTTTTTTTCAATTAAATTCTTTCCACCCTTGTGGACATTATGAACATCTTTTAATCATGCTAATTTAACTCACAATATGAGCACTCTTAGTGCCCAAAGAGTGCCAATGTTGTCAGTTAAATTGATATGATTAAAAGACCTGACTAAACCCAACTTTGCTACTCCTGATGACAACCTGGCCAAACCCATAACATGAGTACATTAAGGGTTTGGCTAAGTCCTCAATGGAAGTAGGATGATGAGGGACAAGGTCCAACACATCCCAAACAGATAACACATTTGAAAAATTCCTGGAGTTTCCTATCCGGATTCAATCCTAAATCTTCCACATCAGCAAAATGACACCTTTACTGCCTCAGCTATCTGGCTGTCAATTTTGTGAATAAACTGTGCTCTTATCTTAGAATGCATGTTTCTAACAGCTAAAGCTGTTCCTGCACACATTTAAAAAAAACCACAAATCTCTAATGATTGAAATGAAAATGAATGCTATTTGTTGTGTGGAATCTGGTATGCAGAATTTGGAGGTGTAAATTCAGCACTACTACTAAACACTAAGTGAATACAAAGTTTCTATAATCTTTTTTTTTTTTTTTGTTGTTATCCATGTACCCAAGATAATTTGGGTAATGCATGATTTTTGTACTGTACATTTTACATCCATAGGCATTCAGTGTTCCTGACTTTTCAACAATTCATATTACAGTAGAGTGTCGATTATCCGAAAGTCAATTATCCAAAACAATTCCAGTCGGCAAATTTAAATTTTTGCCAGTGCTGTGGTGCTGCAATCTTTGGCTATGTCTTGGGCTACTCAAATATTTTACGTTTTTGATACTAAATTAACTACTGAAGTATAATTTTTTATTGTTTTTATATTTTTCAATATATTTATTTTGTTTGTACAAAATAAAGAAATAATTTTTAATGATACAATAGTCACGATTGTTATTTTAAAAAGTTTATGTTAGACTTAACATCGATGAAAATTCAACGCAAAGCAACACGCAACGGAGAAAAATTTCAACATGGGATAGGTTAATATATTTTTTTGTACATAACTAGTTATCCGAAATATCGATTTTCCGAACAACCCCAGTCCCCAATTGATTTGGATAATCGACGCTCTACTGTAATTTGTTTTTTACCCCATATAATTTAAACAAAGATAGACAATTGCCAATAAGCATATTTAAATCAATTAATTATAGTATATAAAAATTAGTACAATTTTGACTTATAATGCGGGTATAATTTACTCAGGAGTTTATTCTGGAGTATTCACAAACAATAATTCACACAATATAAAAATACATTGAAATTCAAGATTTGTTCCTTAAGCAAACAAGGTATTACCAATTGAAAACAACTTTTTGATTTATGTTATGTTGATAAATATAATAAAATACTTAAGACAAAAATTTTAAAGAATTAATTTTATAAAAAATATTATTTTCATATAAGTATAGAGAAAAAGTTGAGTTCAGCTATTTCAGGATTGTAATTGCATTTGTAACAAATAATAGCTAGGTGAAACATCTACTTTCTTTTTCTTTCATTAAAGTTTATAGTTATGATTAGATTTCTTTTGTCAAAAGTTTAATCAAACACATAATTATTTTTTAATTTTTTTTACTGTAATATTACTGATGATATTGNTAAACAAGTTTGAGGTTTTTATATTCAGTTGTGTAAAATATTTTGAATTTTGTATAAAAAAATTAGAAATTATTAAATTGAGAATATATTTTACAATTATCATCATTGCCACTTATATTGCATTCAGTCTGTCTTCTAATTCACTAGCATTA